CATTCAGCTCACATGAATTAACTCATCCCTCATTCATTTAATCAACTCTACTCTACTTCATCAATTCTCTTTTAATGAACAGAGATCAAGTCTATCGACATCCAATTAATCAATTTCTTAACTGGCTGATCAATTGACAGTCTTTGCCTTATTCAATTAATTAACTCTTCTCAACCCCTTTGATTCATTAAGTCCAGCAGGACCAATATCTTGCTTAAGCCCACTGCAGGGGGGGGAACCCCTTTTTTCTTAAGCACTCATCCACCTAGCCAGGCACAATATCCCTCTAAAGCAACCCTTTACGAATCCCTCTTACTGGCTTCCAGTAGTCCTTCCCTTTCATCGTGGCCTTATGGTCATCTCTGTTATGGGGAATAGCCAGCCTTTGATGACCAGCTTCTACTCCAGTACAATCCACCAGTCTTCCTCCTAACATTAGTCCTGTACCTTCACATGGCTTAACAATCTTTCTCTCACTCATGCTCCCCTCTCCAGGGAAACTTCCCTAGAGCTGGCACAGCCTTATCTTCTGGCCGCTTTCCCTTCCGCCAGTAGGAGTCTGTTCTGCGGTCCCATGACTTGGCTTTTTCATGTGGCAGACACGAAGGCTGCACTGTCTGCCCCTGACATCACCATCTTTACTCACCCTGCCCTGCCAATGGTCCTTCACCTCCCAGTAGGTCTCTTGGTGAGTCTGGGTCTGGTGAGGTTCTCCAGAATGTAACAGAGCCCAGAATTGGTGCCCTGTTACATATATATAGATATAGATATTTATTGCCTATCAACAATGTTTCTGTAGCCTAAATCACTCACTTTCCACAGAAGTCTCGCATGCCTTTCTTTCAGTCTCTTACAGTTCCTTTATGTTTCCATCAATGTTAAGCTTTTGTGTTTATTCATCTCTATATAGGAGTAATTCATTCCTCCCTTTCCCCTAAAATTCTTCATAATACAAATATCCTTATGTTCTAGTCGTCTTTGTTTTTAAATGTAATATTTATCTATGCTTTATAGCTTTTTGGTGCTCTCCTCAGCGTATGACTAAACCTAAATACAGCATTCCAAAATGAAGCCTAAATGGGTCATGCACTACTGAATACTCTGCCATGCTTATTTTACATTAGCTACTGCTGTATGCATTTGCCTTTATTTACGATATTGAAGTCACACAATTATAGATAATTTATATAATCTGACTATCAGCACTTTCTCTGAGGTGATGCTGTCCAGGAAATTTCCCTTATCAGTAGAGCTGTGTGAATAACTGTTTTGTTTTGGTTTACAGTTCTGAAGATTTGAACAAAAAATGTTTGTTGATAAAAACAGATCTCCCCCCCTCCCCCAAATGTTCAGAGCACTGGAAAGTCCAAAAAAACTTAAAAACTTTCAAGTGAAACAAAATGCCATTTCTTAATCTCCTATATTTTTTCATATCATTTTCAAGTAAAAATAAAGTAAATTTCAGAAACCAAAGTCATGTTGAATAAGAAAAACAAAGAGTTCATACTGAACATCTGAATTATGCAGACTCCTGGATTTATTTTTTCAGCTGTAAAAAGTAAAAATACTTGAATTTGAATCAGAGAAATTGACTCAAATTCAAGTGTTTTTATCAACCTGTAACTAAAAAAAATAATTAAAAAAATTGTTTTTAAAGTAGTTACTGCTGAAAAAGTTGTTAAGATTTGAGCTCATGAGTAGACATGAAGATATTTTGAGAAGCTCCATGTTCCACATTTGTGATGTACCTCATGATTAGGAATTCTGGTTTTCCCTGTTAAAAAATCCACAATTCTCTGATTTAACCCCCGCCCCCCGCATCCATGTTTTTCTGCAATTAAAATAAAATGCCACTATATACACAAGTATCAGTTGAACACAATGTTTTATTGATATATTTACAATTTTAAAGCAAGTTGGAAGCCTACCAATGCCTCAAGCATTATAATAAAATAAATTCTAAATACCTATATATTTTGGCATTTAGTTTTGGCTTTTTTATAATGGAAAATTAGAGCTCCTGCTAACTCCTTTGCTCACCAGGAAACAGGTCCAGCTGTGGCTGCTCCCATGCTGCTTTGTGGTGATGAGCAGCTCTAATATGCTGATACCATGCCCCTGCCCTTGCCCCTCACTCCTAAGCCACAGCCCCCCCCACAGCCCTACCAGTGGCACTCACTCCCAACTCACAGTCTCCCACATCCCTGGCCATGCCAGTGCCCAACTCCTAACCTGCAGCCCCTTACCCTGCCAGCCCTGCTACTGCCCCTCCCAACCCATAGCCCCTTGCCCCCACCCAGCCCTGCTGACGCACCACTCCTGACCCACAGCACCCTGCCCCCTCAGCCTTAACAAAGGGGGTCCCCCAGATGCCCCCTGGCGCCAGGCCTCAGCCTCCCAGTATGTGGGGAAGGAGGTGTGTAGGCACAGGCAACACCACTGGCAATGCATTGAGGGAATATATGGAGGGGCACGTATCCCCCCAGATTTCTGTGTTGACAGTTGGGTGTGGGGCACGTTGTTGGAGAATGGGTGGACCAACACCAGGCAGAAGCTGCCTCTGTGGCCCACTGAGCAGGACCCAACATTGTAGGTTGGAGGGGGTGAGGAAGGGTGGTGCTGCTGCTGCTGGAAGCCAGTGTGTGGTACCAAGGTGAGGTGCCACCAGCAACCCCAGCAGCAGCGGGGCTGGCAGCTGCTCCAGCTCATGTGGGCAGCAGTGGAGCAAACCTGGCCCTAGCCAGGGAGGAGGAGGAAGGGATGCATGTGGCACTTCCCTGCCCCGGGCTGGGCCTCCCACACCACAGCAGACAGCCTGGCCACAACCCCCCACCCACCCGGGCGGCGTCTCCTGGCTGCCTTGCCTCCATCTCTGAGAGCATGGACACTGGCCCTCAGTGCTGCTGGCCTGACCACACAACTCCCTGCCACCCCTGAAGGATCCCCCCACTGTCTTCTCTTGCTGGAGGGACAGGCACCACTGGGCTGGCCTAAGAAAAACAGAGAGCTGGGCTTGCCAGCAGCACCAAGTGCTGCCCCTGCCCCATCACAGTCATGGTGCCCGGACACCTCCCCCAAGTGCCAGCAGACACCCATGCTGTTACAGGCACACACACACAGATTCCCACACACATCCCCCTCCATAAACCCCTGCCACAGACATATGCCCAACACACAGCCCCCCAGATGGTCCCCAAGCCCTGGCCCTCAACCCCCCTATCCTCTTGACTTACCACCAGTATCCAGCTGCCAGAGCTGCTCCCACCACCCTGCCTGGCTGCATTGCTAGCCACATGTGTGTATGCATCACACAAACATGGTGCCTCCTGACTCCAATTGCCATTCTCCTGCTCCCCTTCAAGCCCCAAGCTGAAACTCTTTCAGCCTGCAAGGGAAAATCCATGGTTTCCCGCTTCAGAGGGGAAAACCTGAGATTTTCTCCTTTAAAGGGAAAAATCTGGGTTTTTTCATGAGAAATGGAAAGCCCAGATCCCTGCTTATGATACATACTCACTTTCTCACTTAGGCCCCTGCTACATGTTACATATGTTATTCAATTAACTAGTTAATCTCACAATAAATTTAGACTGGCCACATGTGCAAAGTAAGACTAACCACAAGTGCAAATTATCATACAATTAACTGGCTAATTGGACAATATATTTAGACCAGCCACACATGCAAAGTAATTACCACACAATAAAAATGACTTCCCAGCTATAAGAAGAGCCAATCAGCTATAAAGCTAGTGCTTGAAAATGTGTAACAACTCTACAGCTGGTTTCTATCCACCTTTCATTTGAACATGTAGCAGACCCCTTTGTGTCATAGTAGAATGGGGTCTATTTTATGAATTGACTGATAAGCCAGTTAGATTTTAAAGGTGAACTCTAATATTCATGAAAATTAGGGTTGGAAGGGACCTCAGGAGGTCATCTAATCCAACCGCCTGCTCTAAGGAGGACCAGCCCCAAATAGATCATCCCAGCTAAGTCTTTGTCTAGCTGGGTCTTAAAAACCTCCAAGGAGAGAGTCCACAACCTCTCTAGGCAGGACCATCCCTAGGGGTGTGCGGGGCCTGGAGCATATCAACCTGTGTGGCTGGTGGGTGACGAGCGGGGGTGGGGGGAGGTGGCAGTGAGCGGCCAGACTGCAGAGCCGGAGGGGGAGGGCAGCCACAGCACAGCTGGCAGCATGTAGCAGCTACGGCAGAGCTGGTGGCACATGGCAGCCATGGGAGGGTTTGAACGGCACTGTCCGTGGAGCCCACCAAAGCGTGGGGTTTGGGGCAGTCACTCCGATTTACCCTCCACTAGGGATGGTCCTGTCTCTAGGTAACCTGTTCCAGTGTTTCACTACCTTCCTAGTGAAAAACTTTTTCCTAATATCTAACCTAAACTTCCCTTGCTGCAACTTGACCATTGCTCCTTGTTCTGTCATCTGCCACCACTGAGAACAAGGTATTTGAAGGCTGCTAATAAGCTAGTCTTGCCACTCTGATATGATAGTATTGGGATAGAATTTTGCAATGATAACCACTTCTGAGTCCAGGTGATGTGGGGTGTATTTCTCAAACACGTAATTTGGTAAGCAATCTTTATTAATTTACCAAGAATCACAGAAGCATATAAATGAATTATTTGATAAAATAAAATAAATATTTTAAGCATATACCGAACATACAAATGCGGTCTTGTCATTCATTTTCCTAAACAATACTCAGCTAAAGGATGTAATTGTCCAAAGGCATTTTTAGAAATATGGTCCCTGCTATTTGAACTAGTTCATATAATAAGGACAGATTTAAAATATCATAAATACATGTTTATGCTTTCAAAATATAGGTGATGTTATAAGATACACCAATGTTCTGGCTATATAAAAAGAAACACCTCTGTAGCATTATTTATTTAAAAAAATGCCAAAATATGGGTATTTGAAGACTTGGCAAAGAGAATGGACTCAACAAGATAAATCTCAGTAAGAGATGTACGTATAAGACAAAAAGAAACAGAATGAAAAGAAACCGTGTGTGGACAGGCTTTTTATTTTAAAAAATATTTCTTAAATTCATTAAATACAGTGTAAAATACAGCACAGGTACTTTTGAAAGTCAGTTTATGAATACTGTGTCAGTTATTTGTAAGTGTACACACACACACACACTCACACACACACACTCATACACACAGAGTGCAGATAATTATTGAAACCATACTACAAAATAAACAAAAAGTTCAGGTAGATAATTTATTAACAGTAACTTTTTAAATATATTTTACTTTCCTGTGTTATTGACTGCATATAAAGTCTTGGTCTTAAAATACATCATAGTATATAAGAATTCTATAAACTCTAGTACCTCCAAAATAAACATCATAAATATAATTCAGAAAACACAAATGTCTGGCCTGCTAAGCCACCCTCGCATTTGCTATAATCCAAACTGTCAGAGGGCTGGAAGGATTTTGAAATCTTGACCACGAGTACAAAATATTATGACAACTCCCAACACAACACATGCAGGAAGCTCTGCCACCAAACCACTTTCAGCTAAGATATCCAATGGACAAAGCACCATATGCTACAATTAAAACTTGAAGGCCAGTCAAATAGGCTATGAAATACTGCCACATACAGGACAAGAGAAACTATGATACTATCTTTAACAACTGAGAGTCAGTATTACAGCATTGGTCACAGAGCACCCAAGTATTTAAAAAAAATGTGTCAAGCCATTTTGATTAGCCTGGATAACAGTCTGGTCACAAGACTAATTTTTGCCTGAGTAATGTCTGGAGGGGCATTAGGATTAGCAGTCAAAAGGGTAGTATGAGTTGAGGAAATACAGCAATCATCAGGGGCGTATCTACAGTCTGGTCCCTGGCACCGGACTGTTTCAGGGAACGCTGATATAAAGTAAATCAGTTGATAGAAGTTCTGAAAATAATATTAAACCAGATTAGAGCCCCTACTGTCAGGCAGAACTTCTAACTCATCTCACTGGAGACTCCTCTGACTACGGATGGACTGCTGCTAGTTAGGTAAAGGAGATACTCAGAACAGTGTGCTTGGGGGTTTAATTATTTTTTCTGACACAATCTGATTAAGCAGAAAAGTAGTGCCAGGCACATACGTGTAACTAGAAAAGCAAATTATTGTGGTGCCATAATGCTATTTTGTTCTTGTAATTATTCTATTCTGCACTGCGGATATTTGGACCTTATTCCCCCAACTGAAGGCTCCATTCCTAAAGGAAATATTAAAATGATTCTATTTACAGGCAAAGAATTGAGAATATCATGGGAAAATGTATAAAAGGAATAACAAGTTGCTTATTATGATCTGGAATTAACTTTCATCATCAATTCTGTGCATCATTTTCTCAAGTATTTTCTCTAACAATACATTTATAGATTACCAAGGGACATGAATGATAACTGTGGTTTAATTTAAAAGTCAGGTTACATAGTATGCTAAATTCCAAAATGTCACACGAACATTTTAACACTGGTCTTGTAGAAATGACATCGAAAAAACAATTTTTCATCATAACGTTAGAGAACTGACAAAACAAAACGTGAACATACTTTACACTTGTGTCATACAGCATAACAATTATCATCCTACTAATCTGATTTTCTTTTTTATAAAATATGTACCAAATAGTTTAGCAACAACAACAAAGCCTACATTGTTAATTGTAGAAAGTGTGCATACAGCCACATGCCTTTCAGTGACATACAGAAGCAATCATCGCTGTCTATAAATACTTGAGAGACACCTTAGCAAAATCACTACCTCTCGACTGGAAAGGGAATATGGACATTTACCACAAGCCTCTCTTGCTTACAAAAGATTTAAAAAAAAATAATTTTACAGTTTTTTCTACTTCTTTGTTTACAGCTATCAAGGTGTTTGGGGCAGGATTGAGAATATCCCTACCACACAAGCCCATGTGCCACATCTCCCTCCAGTCTGGTCCCTCTAGACACTACTGCCCTCTTCATTCCCAGTTTTACTGCTGCTGCTGCTCCTGGTTGATATCATCTTGCACATCTAGGTGGAGCTGGCATCCTCAACAAAACTGAACACAAAGAAACTCCCCACTTCATGCATCAAAGGAAGCTAAAACAATCCCTGCATAGAAATCACTAATCTTGTCCAGGCAAAGTATTCCTCAGGGGTACCTTGTAACAAATAACAGGTATTAGATCATATCAGGTAGAAATGTGGTTCTTGGGTTGGCTACATCCTTTTAAAACTATATTCACAGACTCCTGTGTACCAGACACCTTTGCATTGTAGCCGGCTGAGGAAGAGAAGGGAGTGGCTCACACAATTCATAGGCTGAAGAGAAAATGCTGATCTTCCTCACTTCCCCTCAAAAGCTTACAATGAAGTTTACTCTTCAGGGCAGTATAGAAATATTAATCTTCAAGCAATTGATTGATATGTGAGGGCAGGAAATCAGAGCTCAAGGAGTGGCCTCCCCCAACTAGTGCACCCCTCTACAGGGGCTAGCCACTGTCTAGCTGATGACTGCTCCATGCTAGAGTCACTGGCTGTTTTAGTTTCCTAAGCACAGTCCATTCTCCCATTCCATCGCTTCTCCTTGGGACCCTCAGGCAGAGCAAGCCAGTTGTCACTCCAGCAACCACAAGTTCATGCCTTTAGGCAAAACAGAACATGGGATAAGTTAAAATTTCAGTGGTTAGTTACCAAAAGAAAAACCTTGGAGCTCTGACTTGAGCAAAGTGCTTACTGGAGTTGAGGGTAGGCAAGGTTCTTTGGGTAAATGTGATATCTTGTATTAGACCAGCTAAATAGTTGGAAAAAATGTTTTCTTTGCAAGCTTTCAGGTACAAACACCCTCCTTCAGGCATAAAGATAGTTTGGTGGTGCTGTGTGTTCTCGTGGATGGAGTAAAACCAATATGCAAAACATAGGTCAGTGAAAATGCAAATGCATGGCAGTGAGGATCAGAGATGATGGGAGACAATAGGTGTGAGACAGGTAGGCAGGGGGAGAAAAAGCAGGGAATACTGACTGGGTGACAGAATGTAGCTGGTAAAATGTAGAGAGGTTACCTGGGGTCACTGGATGGCAGGCAGGTTATATACTGGAGTTGATGGGAGTTTTTTTCCCAGTGCAAAAAGCCTTAAGGACTGCAACATGTGATGTGCTAAGTGGGAACTTGCTTTCTGCTTTATCTCTCATGCTGCTATCAAGCAAGTACATCAGGGTACTGTATTTGACTGTGCAGTGCAAGAAGATGCACCTTGGAATTACCTTTTAAAACACCATGAGGAGGACATTTTCTTCATAGGATGAGCTGAAACCTTCCTTACAATGAACTGGGATACTATGAAATTCCTTAGTAAAGCAGAACAAATGAGTCAAATAATGTTGGGTCACTGAATAAATGTTGTCATGGATGCAGCAGTCCATCCTCCCTTTTAAGCTGAGCTCTATGTACTATGTATTTGAAGCTGGCAGGGAGCCTCTATCTGTGGCACAGAGGAGATACTTAGACTTCAGCGTAGGACTGTTCTGCCTGTACTCCCTGCTGAGCTCCGTGCAACACTTAAACTTGTGCACAGAAGGCACTATGTAAACTTTTGCCACCAGCCTGAACTTCAGCAGTAAAGCTGCTTGAGAAAGTGACTTTCTGTAAGCAATGTCCATTACATTATGCAGAAGGCAGGTTCAGAAGCAAGCAGAGGCTGCATAAACATGTTCAAATAGTCTGAGAGTTCTCCCAAGGTTTGTTTTCCTGGTAGAAAAGCTTACTCGGAGACCCCTAAAAAGCTGAGAGCTTGTGGTGCTGATGCTGCGCAGTCAGGGAGCCCTCATGCATACATCACAATGTGCACTGCCTGTTCCCTCAGTGTGTCTAGAGAAAGATGACAGCCTGATTGGCTGACCCAGATTGTTCAGACAGCCTGTTTCCCTGTAGCATACTGTGGGGATTGTGGAGGGGGTGTATTCTGTCCCTTGCTTGGCTGGGGCAGTAGACTCCAGCCAAAGTGAAATACTGTCTCCCAGGGAGGCAGGGAGGAAGCAGCAACGCACCCTGGGATGCTAGAGGACTGTGCTGTGGCTTCCCCCAGAATGTGTACAGACATTCACTGTCCCAGGTGAAACTATCCCAGAAGCAATTTAACCATAGTTGTTTTCTGATTATTTTGCTCCTACAGAGGTCATTTTTACATTGGGAGAAATATCCTGAACGTCTGTATATCCCTAGTTTTTCTTGGGAGAGCAGCAACTCTCTCAGGAGAAACTGTAGATGGCGAGAGAAACACTTCTCCCAAATGTCTTTATACTTTGTTTTATACGGCAACATGTTGGAAAATTTGGACCTGATTCAAGGTTTGACAGTTTTCTGCTCCACTAAGGCTCTTAACTACCCTGGCAGAAAGTAGCACCTACTGCCCAAGTAAATAGAGGTTCAATATATCAAATATTGCCATTCAAGAAACTGCTATCAGTCATTAAGCCTGCACCAGAGTAAAATTGTCCTGTAGCACTAAAAATGTTGAGCTCAGCCACAAGGTGATAATGCGGGAGTGAAAAGCATTTGCTTGAATAGCACGTGTTATTCAAGTACCATAATCAAGAGTTAGTCCCAAATTTGCAAATTGCTTAAATTCACACTGAAGTAACTTAAGTATATATGCAAGTATAATTTGCACAGGTTTCAAAGTAGGTTGAGGAAAAGGTGTACTGACTCCCCAAGAATGCGGCCCACCAAGTTAGTAGGTCTACCGAGTGATTGGGAATGTCCAAACTCAGTGGGAGATGCATCAATAAGGACTTCAGAACTAGACTCTAAGGTATTTATTTTAGTGCATTTCTGACTTGGACATCTGTTCACATTCCTCCCTGCAACGATTTTATGACTTGCTCCTTATTCTCCTTTTATGGACTGTTATTCTTCAATGGACTAGGTCAGCCAATTCACAGCTTATAACAGCATTTTTATTAACACATCATTTTTATTGGTGGGAAAATTTATGCAAAATGTATTGCTAGTAATATATAAAATGGATCCCTTTTAAATTCTAGCATGGGTAATCAATGGATATCAATGCCAAGTAATTTTACTACCACACTTCATGTGAAAGGAAAGGATTTTTTATAAGGGTGATATCTTTTATTGGAGCAACTGCATTATTGGAATAAAGTTGGACAAGCTTTTGAATGCAATGCATCATGCATTCCTCATCAGATCTAATGAACTTGATGAAGAATACATTGCTTTCAAAAGCTTGTCTAACTTTATTCCAACCAAGCAGTTGGTCCAATAAAAGATATCACCTTAAAAAAAAAACCTTGCTTCTTGCATAATTACTAGACCACCACAATATAACACTACTCTAACAAAGGGGCGTCAAATATAGGACCTATGGGCCAGATCCAGTGCCCGGCGGTGCCTATGGGTTTTAGAATAGCCAACAGGTTGCATGTGAAGCATAATGGATGGCTCCATGAGCTGCCAGCTTCAGCTCGTATCCTGGAGCAGTGGAGCAGCTGCCACATAGAGCGCAGCCCCGGAGCAGCTGTGTGCCACTCTGGGGCTATGCTGCATGTAGTGGCCTCACAGCCCCATGGCTGCTGCTCCAGTGTATGCAGCACACTTCCATGATGGTGGCTCTAGGGCTGTGCAGCAAAGCCCGCAACAGCTGCTGTATGCAGTACAGCCCTCAAAGTGGCTGGAGCAGGACTGGGCTGCATCAGCATTCACTCCAGCCACTGCAAGACATGCACTGGATCTGAATGCAGGTCCTGTCTGTGGGTCCAGACTGGCCCATGGACAGGTGCTGCACCACTCATTCAGCCCACGTGGTTGGATGAGTTTCACAGCCCTGCTCTAAGCCTTCCACTAGCATGTTTTCAAACTATGGCCAAATAGTTCAATGAAAGTCAGAGGAAATTTCATTCAAATTAAAAAAAATAATCAAATTTATCTAATATCACACACTTTGAATAGCTAGATGGAGCTTTCAGAATTCATAGCTTAAAAAATTAGCTACTTCCCAGATCATTTGGGGAAAAGCTAAACGTAACAAGTAGAAGTGAGATTCAGATGTATTTCAAATTTTAGATTTATTGTCCTTCTTTGGTGCTAACCATAAATGTTTTCCAGTAATGTTAGTATCAGAATTTTATTGCTTTGTGTATTTCAGTTTTTAGACAAGCTGAGAATGCCTAGGGAAGATGGGTGCTATAAATATAATTTATTATTAATATATAATTATATTGATGAAAGAAAGACATAAAAATTCTGTGTGGTGCTCAAATGAAATAACAGTCCAAACAAAATCACATTTTGGAGGAGCACTTAAGGCTTTGTCAGTGTACAACCTAATCCGGTTCTCAATTGTATAAATTATTTACAAATTAGCATGCGTATATTGTAACTTCATTGTATAACACAAGTTCAAAACCTTGCTTTAAGAACAAAGTAACTCGTTCCTTGAAATGACCAGGACCAATGTCCAAATCAAGTTTCCTAGTAGAGAAACACATCATAACAGAAATAAGTCTTACATTATGAAAACATTATAATTATTTTACACGTTAAAATATGTGATTGTAAAAATTTCCAGAGTGCATTGCCTGTAAATTTTATACTGGTCTGGTTAAATCTCAGGCCCCAAATGGTTTGCAGCTAATGACATGTTTTTTGATGTTATTGCTGTAACGTTCCTTATCTGCAAAAGAAGACCAGAACAACCTTTTTGTGAACAGCTGAAGTTATTTAAACAGAGTACCATCTTTAGCACAAAGAAACCCTGTTAACTATTTCTTTATGTCCTGTTCTATTCATAGGGAGCAATATAATGTGGAGTTACAGAATTTGAAGGAAATATACTACTCTTGACTAACAGGCTGATCCCCATATCTGTGTCAGATAAAGATCATAGTGTTTATTATTTGTTACCATGGATACCATGAAGATACTGCTGTCCACTAAAGTATATTAGAGGAAGACAACGTAATTCTCAGGAACTAGCCCTGTTTTGCCTTCATAGGTTGCTTTTAACCAGCCTGGTTCCACGGATGGGTACACTGCAAAAAAAATTTTTTTTAAATTAACAATTATCAACTCTATTGGATTGACAACATCAGACTGATAATGAGAGTGAAAATGGGAAACAAAGTGACGTTTCTTTGTTTTTATCTCAGAGATCAGTTTAGTTTAGCATTCTCTATAAAGAAGTGCATTGTTTAAACAATTCTTACCATTAGAAAATATTGCCCCCTGCGGGAAGGAAAGCTCATGACTATGCTCAGCCTTGCAGGAATACATGGCTTTGGCTTGTCTGAAAGATCAAAATAAAAGGCGGTTACAAACAAGATAATTTGGGGAGCAAGAAGAGGGGAGAATCTGTGATAGGAAAACTGCTCGGATATGACTGTACATGGGGTTGGGAGGCATCTGGTGGGGGGCAGGCAATAGGACAGGCAGGGGCAAGTGCGGGGCACATGGTGGGGTGGGCAGGCAGTGAGAGAGTGGGCAAAAGCACAGATGGGGGCAAAGGATTAGGTTCTGGCCTTTGATGCCCTCTTGCTGCTTTCCTTGCCACAATGGGGGGGGGGGGGGGGGGAGGAGAGAGAGAGAGAGAGTGGCAGGCATCAATTGAAGATGACCCTCCAGTAATTACATTCTACCCATGGAAAAGTATAAAGTATAAAAAAATATAATATTCCATGTATAGAAACTAATTATTGGGTGGGGGTTCTCTTAAATTTTAAGTAGTCTTGGATTCAGGTAAATATGGTAATATACTCAAGACTTCAAGTAGTAAAAGCGTTCCCCTTTAGGATGCTATCAGAGAGTATCAGTGGATATTTTTTCCCCAAGGAGGACATGATCTGTTATAGATTTTAATATTTTGACATTGTGTGTGTGTGTATGTGTGTGTGTATATGAAATAATCTCCTCTGCCTTTCTTTTCATGGAATTAAAGTGACAAAGACAACATGACACATTACATTAAGGATAACACAACTTATACACAGAGGACTATTCTCCCCCAGCCTGTGAGCGGCTAACATGATACAGGCTGATGTGGAAGGGAAGTTGGGTTATTCTCTTTCCATCTCAGCATCCATTTTGGGACTAGTCACTAACTGGCACAATGCCCCAGATGAGCAGAGCCATATTCATAGCATCTCACTGTCATAGCTTCAGTCACTATGGCTAGGTACAGATGTTACACCTACCTTGTTTAAGCAGCCAGAAAGCACTCTAAAGCCATAACTGAACAGATGGTCATGGCTCTTAAGTGCTTTAAAAATGGCGATTCATGCTCTAAATTAACCATAGACAATTAGGGTTGGAAGGGACCTCAGGAAGTCATATAGTCCAACCCCCTGCTCAAACCAGGACCAGCCCCAACTAGATCATCCCAGCCAAGGTTTTGTCTAGCCAGGTCTTACACACCTCCAAGGATGGAGATTCTACAACCTCTCTGGGTTACCTGTTTCAGTGTTTTACTACCCTCCTAGTTAGAAAGCTTTTCTTAATATCCAGTCTAAACTTCCTTTGCTGCAACTTGAAACTATTGGTCCTTGTTTTGTCATCTGTCACCATTGAGAACAGTCCAGCTCCATCTTCTTTGGAACCATCCTTCAGGTAGTTAAAGGCTGCTGTTAAATCCCCCTCAGTCTTCTCTTCTGCAGACTGGAATCCCCGTTCCACCAGCCTCTCCTCAGAAGTCATGTGCCCCAGCCCCCTCACCATTTTTGTTGCCCTCTGCCGGACTCTCTCCTATTTGTCCTCATCCTTTCTGTAGTGGGGTCCCAAAACTGAATACAGTACTCCAGATGTGGCCTCACCAGTGCTGAACAGAGGGGAATAATCACTTCCCTGGAACTACTGGCAACACCTAGATTCATAGATGTTAGGGTCGGAAGGGACCTCAATAGATCATCGAGTCCGACCCCCTGCATAGGCAGGAAAGAGGGCTGGGGCTAGATGACCCCAGCTAGATACCTATCTAACCTCCTCTTGAAGACCCCCAGGGTAGGGGAGAGCACCACCTCCCTTGGGAGCCCATTCTCGACCTTGGCCACTCTAACTGTGAAGAAGTTCTTCCTAATGTCCAATCTAAATCTGCTCTCTGCTAGCTTGTGGCCATTATTTCTTGTAACCCCCGGGGGTGCCTTGGTGAATAAAACCTCACCAATTCCCTTCTGTGCCCCCGTGATGAACTTATAGGCAGCC